CACTAGGGCACCCGTGGCAGACATGACATCATCCTGCAGCCTCGTGCCCGCTGAGAATAGCAACAGTGGAGGTGCTCGCTAGGCCCACTGAGGCAGTGTGGGTAATCTCTCACCCAGGCTCACCCCTTCCCCAACCACCAATGGCCCCCAGCTCTGCTCCTGGTGGGGGAAGCAGAGCCATGCTCATGGGGGCCAGGGACTCCCTGGGCTGGACCCTCCAGCTGATCCTGGGGGTACTCTGGCTTCCTGATGCTTCCCCATGACCCCCACACTGCTAATGCCAGCAGCTGCCTCCCAGCCCGAGGCCCACCTGGCACAGCAGGCCCACAGGTCATGCTCTCTGACACATGGGATGGAACAGGCCAAGCCCACCTTGGACTTTCACCATCACCTTGGCAACTCAGAAAATCACACACACTCCAGGTACCAGCTCCCAGGATTCTGGGAGACACAGACTTCCACTCTCCACCCTCCATATACCCTATTCACCCACCCACCCACCCTCCATAGACTCCTCCAGCCACCCCTCCCCTGCTTGTCCGAGCCCCTATCTGCCCACCGGCCATCCCTGTCTCTTTACCCTGCAGCGTGCACTCAGCCATCTGTACACCATGGCCATCTGCAGACCTATGGACTCACCAGGCACCTGTGTCCACTTCTCTGGCCACCATCCCATCATTCTGCATCCTCCCATCCCGCCACTGGACCAGTCACCCATCGACGATTCCCCTGTTCCATCCGTCCATCCAACTAACATTTACTGGCTGTGCTCTCACCCTGGCCAGGGGAGACGGCCAAAGAATAAAGGGGTGGAGTGCCCACCAGCTCTGACGAATGTAAGGGGGTGTGATGTGACGGGGGGGCAGGGGGTGCCTTCATCCGAGGGACTGCAGGTGCCAGGTCCTGAGGTGAGAGAGTAGGGGGCAGGCAGAAGGCATGAGGGGGAAGTGATGAGAAAGCCTCAGGACAGACCTGTGAGCGCCTGCTGTATACGGGGAGACTCAGAGCCTGAGGAAGAAACTGAGGGCCTGCCTTGGGACAGCTGGGTCTCGGGGTGAGGGAAGGGGACAGTGTTTCTCTCTGTCGAGAGGCCCTAGGGCAAGCCTGAGAGGGACCCCACAGCCTAGGTCTGCCTCCATCCCATGGGCTAAGGGGCTGCACGGAGGGGCCCCGCAGGAATGGGGGAGGGGCGGCACAGACACACACACCCCTGGCACTGCAGCCTGGGGTTCTGGGAAGGCCCAGACGGGACAGGCCTGAGCAGGTGTGGTGGAGGCAGGCGCAGGCTGACCTCCTTGAGCACATGCAAACCTCCGGCTCAGCCTGCTCCGCCCACCTCAACGGACACTGGACAACGGCTGACATCTTCATCCGAACCCTCAACTCCTCCCCTGTGGCTGACCCATCGGCCTCAGGCCCTCGTCCAGCTCTGCCATCACTGCCTGGCTGGAATCTGGCCACAGGGAGTGACAGGGTGGTCCCCACCAGCCCCGAGCTGGAGCTCACCCAGAGAGCTGCCTCTCATGCCTGGCAGCGAAGGTGAGATTCACTGTGAAGGTGCCCCCACAACACGGACATTGGTTCAGGAAAGCCCCCTCCCCTCAGGTGTCAGCCCCTGCTGATCTGGGTCCTTCCACGTCCTGGCACCAGGCTAGTGGGCTAGGAGAGGCCCAGTTGGCCAGCACGGTCTGCCGTCCCCTGGGTGCGCCCACCCTCTGGGCCAGCCATGTGCCCTCCTCAACTGGGGGTCTGCAGGCAGTGGGAGGGGACCACAGCACCCGAGGGTTATGACAGACCCTCTCATTGCCACCGGGCTGGCGAGGGTCTCAGTGGCCCCCGCGAGGTCTGGAGGTGTCTTGTCATTGCCACATGCCCTGGACCAACCTGGTACCTGGCCTGTAGGTAGAGTGTTGACCCTTTCCACACCTGAGAACACAGAGACCGGGCCACACCCGCTCTCAGCCCAGGGAGGGTCAATGGCTCCCCCGATAGCCACAGTCAATGCTGCCCTGGGTGAGGAGTGAGTCGAGGTGAAGGAAAGGCCCCCAGAAGTGGTGACCCTGAGTAGGGCGCTGGAGAATGAGTGGTGAGGACAGTAGGTCTGGCTGGGGAGAGCTAGGAGCCCCGACTGGAGTGGGGTGGACACCGGGGGTCCTCCCTATGTGCACCCGGGCTGGAGCTGTCGGTTCCTGTGACTGCAGGAGTACACGGGTGGCTGCTAAGCAGATATGTGGTGGAGTCTGAGACAGAGGCAGGGTGAAGAGCATCACTTCCTGGCCTTCCTATAGCCCAGGACCCAGGCCCAGCTGAGACAGAGCTGGGAAAAAAGGTTTACACCAAGGACAACCAAGAATGCCAGACCTTTGCCTGCTCTGGGACTTGGCCACGGCCCCTAGGAGAGTCAAGTGGGCTGGGAACTGGGGTTCTGGCAAGATCCTGGGGTCCAGCCGAATCCTACCCCGTTTCCCTCCCCTCAGTGAGCAAGAGGGAGCAGGCAAGAAGGCCCTTCCCTTACTCACCCTCTCTGGGCATCAGGTTCATGCCCCACTGCCCCCCAGGCCACAGAGCAGCTGCCTGGGGAGAAGAGGGCTCTGGGACCTTGAGATGGGCTCCTCTCAGCTGCTGGCCCTCCAGGGGATTCTGCAGGGGCTGCCAGACCTGCAGAGCCCACCAGCCTTTGCACCCCTGGGGAGGGCCAGTCCAGGTCCCCCCTCAAAGTTCTTGGTACCCAACCCCCCCCCACCATGCCTCAGCTGGGCTTGGCCCGGAGGTCCTGCCGCAGCCAGGGCCCTCCCTGCCCCCTTCCCTAGGAAGAGATAAGTGTGGCTGAGGCTGAGATAAACTTTGATGCCCCAGGCCCTGATTAATGGCAAATCCCAGGAAGTTCCCGCCCCATCCTGAAACCCCATCTGCAGCCTGGCTCAGCCAGACAGTGATCCCACCCATCCGGGGCAGGCCTGGCCCCAGAGGCCACCACCTCTGGCACACCCCAGCTGCCTCTCCCTGAGGCCTGGCCCTCCCTGCCCAGAGCGCTGCCTCAGGCCCACTCTAGGAATAAGAGGACTGAGGGTGAGGAGCTGACCCCCACCTCCCCCATGGGCCTTCCTCACTCTTTTGCTCTAACACAGGTGAAAGGCCCCCTGTGACACTCTCTCTTTGGAGGCCAAAGGGTGAAGCCAGGTTGTCCCCTTGGGGTTGAGCCACGGCCCCATAAATGCCCAGTGGAGCCAGCGGAGTCCATGGGGAGGGGTCACTGAGGAGGTGTGTGTTTCTCATGGCTTCTTGTGTCCCCAGACACCCCCGTCCCAGCACTGGTGACCCCCTATGGTCCCCACCAGGATGGACTGTTCCTTCCAAGTGCTGGGGGTGCTGTCAGGGAAGGCCCATGTGGACCTGCCAGTGGGGACATGGGACAGGCAGAGACCAGTCCACCTAGGAGGAGGCCTCTGGGGGACCGGGGGGACATTGGGAACAGCAGGAAAGGCAGCTGGGGGCACAGGGTCCTCCTCACTTCCTTCCCTTGAGTGAGGTGGCCCACCTCCCACCCTGGCCTGGGGCCCCATGGCAGCACCCCAGCTCAGACAGGCGCTCAGGATCGGGTCCCTGAGGTGTATGGGGACAGTGCAGCTCTGGCACGGGGGTCTTCAAATGGTCCTCTAGCCTGTAGAAGACGTGGGTACACTGAGGCAAAGGGGCCTTGGCTATGGTCACCTGGAGGTCAGCAGCAGAACTGGGAGCATGTCATGGGCACCTAGGCAGTAGAGGCCACATGGCAGGGTGGGGTGGGCCAAGGCAGACACCCCTGAACCTGGTGGGGGGCCTCGTGCCTGGCCAGAGGGCAGGAGGCTGGTTGAACTATGGTGGCCACCGGGTGTGGGCAGGAGTGCGCCTCACTTGGCTGGGGGGCATGCGTGGCGCCGTTGGGCAGATGACTTAATCACAGGCGGGCTTTGTCCCCTGGCGCCCACCCCCCTGCCCGGATCCTCCGCCAGGCCAGCCGCACACCCCCACCCCCACCCAGCTCCTAGCAACCTGCAGCCGAGCGTGGGCAAATTCGAGCAGGGCTGGGGGCTCTCCGCCACAGGGCCTGGGAACTGCACAGGGGTGGCCGTGGGGTGCGGCTGGGCGGATCCGCCCCAGGCTGGGCTTGGGGGACGGCTGCCTGGCCTGGCCCGTGCCAGCCCCCGAGGAGGGCATCCTGGGAGTGGCTCTCAGGCTGGCATCCTGGCAGAGGAGGCGCCAGGGCCAGGGGTGGGGGCCGGGGGCTTTGTGTGCTTCGGGGCCCCTCTCTTCCTGGGCCCCCACCCAGCTGATCCTGTCAGAGCCTTAGAAAGTGGAACAAAGGCCCTGGAGGCCCTGAGGGGGCCAGGACGCAGGCAGGAGATGGGGTTTTAATGACCCAACTACAGCGGTGGGAGAGGAGGCAGCTCGTTAACCCTGTCGGGCCCTCGCTCTGAGGCCGCCCCTCTGCCAGCAGGCCCCCATCACTGACCCCATGAGACTGGGAACAAAGTGAAAATCTCATCTCCAAAGAGTCAGGCCTGGGAGCCTGGGTCCCTGATGCCCCAACCCAGGCAACCTGTGCCCCAGTCCCCTGCCCGAGGCGCTGGGTGAGACAGAGCCCTGGACGGCAGCCGGACACAAGGCGGGAACGCCCCGTCCATCCGTCATCACTTCCCCTCCACACTTGCGACTTTCCTGCTTCCTGACCTCTGACAAGGAACTGAACTCCAGCCAGGGTGTTACCTGCGGCGTGGGAGCCTGCCCTCCTCCTGACCGGAGCCCCTGCCAGGCGCAGCCCTGCCACCCCTCCCCGGTTCTCACACGGAACCTCTCCTCACACAGGCGGAGGGAAACTCGCAGCCCTGTGGGCCACAGAGCTGGCGGGCGGGATGGCCGAGACACCAGCTCCCCGCTCATTCCACACCATTCAGGGGCCTCCCTGCCCCTCCTGCCTCAGTTTCTCCACCTGTAAGATGGGCACGTGGGCAGGTAGGAGGCTAGGTATGGGGCGCTGTCTCTGAGGCTCCTTAGAGACTGATGGGGGTGTCTCCCCAGGACCCAGGGTTAGGGGTTCTGAGTAGAAAGAACACCGTGGGCACCCCGACAGCCCTGACTGTTGCCCCCCCCCCATTTGATTCTTTCTGCTCCCAGCCCCCTGAGGTTCTCAGCAGCACTGCTACCCCCCCACTCCCCACCCATCCCCTGCCTAGAGGGGCAGAGCTGGGCCTGGGCCTGTCACCAGCTGTGTCCTTGAATTTGTCGTGTGAACTTGGACTTGCCATGTGACCTTGACAAGGCCTGGGTGCCCAGAGTCTTACTTTTCTGGAGGAGAGGTGTCCAGGGACCTAGGGCAAAAGTGGGGCAGCAGACAGAAGTTTCCAGTCCAAGCCACACTGGACAATCCACAGAGAGCACCAAAGAGGGGAGCCAGGAGAAAGCAGCCCCTCCCAGGAGGTGGGCAGGCCAGGACTGGGGGGGGGGGGGCAGGGGGCAGCGGCAGAGGGAGGAGGTGCCATCGAAGCACTGAGTTCCCAGCACTGCTCACAGCAGCCCCCTGCGGTGGGGACCAGATCGGGAAACAACGGAGGCCCAGACAGGGGGCCAGGCGCCAGGTCCCTGTGGACAAGAATCTGCTTCCTGGGCCTGAGCCCCCCACCCCCTGGGAGTGGACCCCTCTATCCCTCCCTGGGCCAGCACCCCGCATAGGACTGGGGTGAGGACATGGGGCTGCAATCACAGACTTCAGGAAATGGAGAGTGACGCAATTCCTGCTCCGCTGTTGGGCCGACTTCTCACGGTGGCTCAGGGTGGGGAGCCCAGCCCAACGCAGCCAGGGCACCGGGCAGAGGTCAGGGTTTCGCTGCAGGGCCTCTTCTGCTCTCGGGACCTCAGCCCCGGCAGACAGCCAGGCACTCAGCGGAGGAGAGTGGCCCACCCACATCTCCCCCGGACTCCTCCACCAAACAGACCATGGGGACCAGGTGGACACAGGAGACCAGTGAGGGGTGCCTGCCATGGCCCAGAAGAGTATAGACAAGGCTGGTCTGAGGGGAGGCCAAGGTCCAGTGGGATGCCCTAGTGGTTAGAGAGTGGGCAGGCTCAAAGAGGATGCTGGGGTCAGGCCTGAGAGCTGGGTCAGGTGTGGAGCTGCCAGTAGCTGAGCTGCGTGGGGTTAGGGGTTAGGAGCAGGGCATGACCCTGCCAAGCTCAGGATGCGCAATCAAGATGCCCATTAGCTGGGTCCAAGTGCAGGCACTGACTAGAGGGCACATCCGTCTGTGTCCACGTGTGTGCATGTGTGTGCATCTCTCTGTGTGTTCCTCTGTGCAGGTGACATGCGTGCATGCCCATGGGCCCATGTGTGCCGACCTGGAGTTGGGCCTGGGCCCCGAAAGGCCACCAGGGTGGGTTTGTGTGGCGGGTGCTGAGGTCGAGGCACTCATCATGCATCCGTGAGTCACACGTATTCCTTTCCGGGAGCACCTGAGTTCTGCCCACCACAGCTGCCCCCTCTTCAAGGCCCTGAGCTTCAGCCCGTCTCCAGGGTCTCCCAGGCCCTCTCGTAGGAGGCCGAGCCCTGGTTTGGGCACCCCCACACCTTCCTCCTTGGGGTGGGGATCCTGGATGGGCAGCGGCCCTGCCCGCCCTGGCCACTCCATGAGCACACCACGAATGAAGCCATTCCCTGGCCTTAGGCAAGCAGGCCCTGGACCCAAGAGCCTGCACACAGGACGACGCTGCCGGGACGTGATTGAATCCAGTCTCCTCCGGGCAACCGTCTTCCTGGGAGGGAACTTACGGCCGGCTGACCAGGACAGAAAAACGGAAACTCCCCCCACAGTGGTCCAGGTCTGCTCACCTGTGGAACGGGCGGCCGAGGGGGCATCGCTGTCCGGGAGGGGATAGTGGCCCGCCGGGTTAGGGGCGGTGGCCACACGCTGCCAAGGCACAAACAGCCCAGCTTGTTTTCACCCACGGGGTTCCACAGGGTTTCCAAACGTCTTAATAAGGAACGTGGCCTGGGCGGGAGTGTGGCGGCCGGGCCGTGAATGGCGCCTGTGAGCGCGGAAGAAAGGCTGTCCTCGGCGGCCGCTGGGGGGGCTGGGGATAAATGGCCCCAGTCATGCCGCCGGGCTGGCCCAGCGCGAGTGTGCTAAGTTGAAGCTATAAATTACCGGCCGCGGCCAGCGCCACCGCAGCGCGGGTGGGGCGGCGGGGAGGGGGCGCGGGGGCTCCGTAAATCGGCTCTTTCACCACTGGAGGCCGCGCACGAAAGAAAAACTTTGTTTTATTAAAGCAACATCAGGGTTGTGGCCGCCGGGCCGGGAGGCGCCGACAGGAGGACTGGGCACCGGGCAGGCGGGGGGTTCCCGCCACACCCCGGGGCCTCAGAGAAAGGCCCCTTCAGGAGGGACCAGCTCCAGCCAGTGGGGCTGAGGACTTGCTCTGCACCCAGCCCAGCAGACTCCTGCTGCATGCTCTCCCAGCGGCCTCGCTCTTGCTCCTCCAGACCCAAGAAATTGCCCAGGGTCCCTATGAGTCCCCTGAGCTAGCCTGTGCCCAGCCAGAGGGGTCTACTCAGAGCAGGGTTCCTGGGTGAGCCACTTCCATCCCCAAGAGCCACGTCTTCCCTTCAGCGTCTGGGCTGGGCCAAGGGCAGCCTGGGGGCCAGAGAAGGAGGGAGCAGGGGAGACCAGGCCCTGTGCTCAGGCCCCGCTCAACAGAGCAGCTCTCGGCTGTGAGGGCCACAATGAGGCCAGCCCTTGGGCACAGCCCCCCAGCCAAGGCTTCTGCCCACTCCTGCCTGCTCCATCTCCGGGTCAGGGAGGCCAGGGAGTTGCCTAGGGAAATAGTTAGACACTTTAAGTGGAAATGAATGGAAACTAGGGGTCTTCTCTCCATTCCTCCAGTGGCCACGAGGGCTCTGGAGTCCTATAGACCCTGGCCTGTGGAGTGGGTGGAGACCCAGGAGGCAGTGAGCGTGGGCTTCTCCTGCCACACATCACCCCCCCGAAGGAGGCCCCTGACGGCCCACAGCCCTGCCCCCTCAGCTTGCCTTTGCAGCGGCTCCCCCTGAGTGAGGTCCTCTGTCCCCCCAGCCTCTTCCAGAGCCTCCTCCAGAGCACCCCCAGCCCCACAAGCCACAGTAGGGGCTGCAGCCTGAGGCCCACCCTCCCTCCCTCCTGCCTGCACCTCTGCCGGGGGACAGGGCTGAGTTGCTTCTCCTGAACCCGGTCCCCTGGCAGGATGGGTGCCTGCTAGTGGGGTCTCAGGCACCGAGTCAGGCAAGCAAGGGCTTGTTTGTAGCAGAGGGTCATCTTGGCTCTCTGTCAAAGTTGCAGCCAGCTGTGGCCTGTGCCGTCTGGACTTTCAGACCCCTCAGCTGGGAACGGGGTCTGGCGGTCAGGGTTGGGGTTCACTCTGGGCCTCTCCGTGAGCTGAAGTCCACCTCCCTCCAGAGCCCTTCTACCTGCATCTCCCCACCAGGCTGCAGGGGCGTCCTCCTACTTCAGCCAGATGTCCACACTGTGCCCTAGCCCTGGACTGGGGCTGTCCCCTTCCAGGTCATATCTGGCTTCCCTGGCCCTTCCAGTCCCACAGCCAGGGCCCTCCTGTCCCCTGGCCCATGCACTCAGGTGAGTGGAGGTTCCCAAGACCACAAAGAGCTGGACTGAGTCAGAGCCTGGTGGAAGGAGGGGCTGCCGGGACCAAAACAGATTGCTCAGGCAGCTCCTCCTCCCCAGGGTCCCCAGGCCAGGCAAAGCTCTAGGGACAACCTGGAGTCCCAAAGCCCAGGCCCACCTGCCTGGCCCGGTTCATGAGGCCACCTCCTCCGCTATCACCCCTCACACTCAGTCCAGGGAAGCCCGCCTTACTTGACCAGACCAGAGTGGGCACCGTGGCTCATACTGACCACAGCCCACCTCTGGGCCTTGACTCCCTACCATCTCTCCTGGGAGAAGGTGGAGGAGAGGTGCCGTGCAGGCAAACCCCACGGTGGGCCTGGGTGTGGTCCCCACTCTGCAGCCCCGCTCAGTTGGGGCCTGGGCCAGCACGCAGCAGCCCTGGGCCTGTCTGAGCACGTGTGGTGTTCCCCGCTCACCAGAGCCTCCATTTATGCCCTGTGAGGATTCGGAAACCCAGACTCCCAGCTGAAGAAATGGGCTTCCCAGGGGTCACACAGCCATTTGCAGATGTCAGCCCCATGGGGCACCAATGACTCACATCTTCCCTCCAAGCTGAGGTGGGGATCCCATGAACGAGACTGACTGGAGCAAGGCCTGCCTCCCAGTGGGGACATTTAGATAGTGACGTGAGTAGGGGGGAGCTGGGCAGTAAGGGGGTCAGGGAGGGGGCCTCAAGGAGGGTACTCTTGGGTTCAGACCTGAATGATAAGAAGGAGCCAGGCCTGAGTGGCCCTGAGTTTCAGGGCACCTGGTGGCCCAGTGGCTGTAGCAGAAGGAGCCAGAGGGTGGGGGATGGGGGGATAGCAGCTGGGGCCGCAGAGCACGGGTGCGCCAGCCTCGTGGCCACTACAGGGACTTTGACTTAGACTCAGAGGTCACAGGAGCCACTGCGGATGAGAGTGGCACATGGATGGAGGGGGCAGGGTGGCAGGCGGAGCAGCTCAGGCCCTGCGGAGAGGCTGGGGGCTGAGCAGTCGTGGGGAGAGGTGGAATTCCAGGCCCTGGTCTGCGGGCCCTGGGCCCGCTCTTACCCTTCTGTCCCCTGACTCTGCCTGGGGTTCTTCCCTGATGTGGTGGGCAGAACCCAGGCCAGGCTAGGGTGCTAGGTCCTACGAGGGTGCCAGAAGGAATGGCCTGGGAGGCGGCCCTGCCCCCAGAGATCATCCAGCCCTGGCCCACCACCCAGGAGATGAAAAGCCTTGGCCCTGTCCTCTGCGGGCCCCACGGTGCCCTGTGAAGGCTGTGGGAATGCCCGCAGGGGAGGCTGGTGCTGGGCACTGGGAGGGGCTGCTGGTGCTGTGGCTGTGGCCCAAAGGGCCTCCTGGCTGAGCCCTGGCCACCCTTCGGAGGCCACACTGTCATGGCCTTGCCCAATCTGAGACTCTGGTGGGCACTGGGGAGCAGGACATACCATCCTCTTTGACCCAGCCACAAAGAGCAAGCCCTGTGAACAGTGCCTCAGTCTCCCTACCTGGACTGCTGATAGACACAGAGGTTCTGGGAATGTAGGGGGTGGGAGGGGGAGTAAGCCTACTCCCCAACCCCCCCTGAAAGCGCTGCCTTATTGATCACAGTGTCGCCTTATTGATCACAGTGTCGCCTTATTGATCCAGGAGAAGGCCAGCCTGGGAGGACCCTCTCTAACCTCCACTCTCAGGTCCACAGTCCAAGGACACATCCTGGGGCCATCACCACTGAGCAGTCAGCACAGAAGTCCAGCCAGAACTGGGGCACAGAGCCTGGTCCCTGCCCTCTTCAGGCCAGGCATCCCGACTGGGGAGAGAATGCCCTGCCCTGGGAGGGTGGGCAGCCTCCACCATCCCTCTGCTCTGGCTGGGGACCCCTGACGGTCTGACTGCGGCTGCCACCAGGGTTGGGGGACAGGCTCCCAAGGACCTGCGGGCAGTGGCAGGCGTTGTTGCTCCCCAGGGCTGGGCTGGGGCTGGAATGTTTGCATTCACTGTTTGCCCGCGGGGGTGCCCTCCCCAGCCTGGGGGCCCAGGCCCAGCTGAGTCTACAGCTCGAGTCAGCTGGGGAGGAGGAGGGACCCTCTGGCTCCGATGGGGAATTCCAGGGCCGGCTTTGACACAAAAGGGGCCTTCCTGCTTCAGGCCTGTCCCCTGAACTGGGAGACCCCAGCCCAAAGAGTCGCTCAGCCCGCTCCTCCCCCGCCGGGCCCTCCCGTCCCGGGGCTTCCCAGCCCGGCTCGGAGATTATGCAAATCCCCGGCGGCTCCTTAATTAAATCCCTAACGAGGCGCTGGGGCCGGGCCAGGGGTGGCGCTGAAAGCCGGGGTCACGCTCCGGAGGGGCCGGCCCGTCTGCGCCAGGAGGGCCCCGCGCGCCCCACCGGGCCTGGGAACCGCGCGGCCAGAGGGGCGGGCCGGCCCACGGCCCTGCAGTGCCCCCGCCCCCGCCCTGCCGGGCCTCAGTCTCCCCGCCGGACGCGACGCGCACCCCCGCTCCCGCGCCGAGATCGGGGTCCGGGCGGGAGGCCGCCGGGGCGGGGCGGGGCGGTCGGGGGCAGCGGCCCCCGCGCCCCGCGCGCCCCTTTCAGACGCCTGTTGTTGGGCCAACAGCCCGGGCCGCGGCCGCTGAAAGGCCGGGATTAGCGAACATTAGCGGCCCTTTGAGCGGCGCCCGGGGCGCCCCTTCCGCCGGCCCGCCCCGCCCAGGCCGGACCGCGGGCAGGAGGGGCGCCCGGGGAGCAGTGGGGGGACTGGACCGCGGGCGGGAGGGGGGCGCACCCGGAGTGGGGGCTGGACCGCAGGCGGGAGGGGAGGCCCGGGGTGGTTGGGGGGCGGACCGCAGGGTGGAGGGGGGCGCGACCGGGGTGGGGCCAGACCGTGGGCAGGAGGGGGCGCCTGGGGAGGAGGGGGGCAGACCAGGGGCGGGAAGGGGCGCCCGGCAGGGGGACAGGGGTGAGCAGGAATTCCCCTAGTCAGTGTCAGGCATCGGGTCGGAGTTTTGCCCTCGTTGGAGCCAGGCGGCGGCTGAGGCGGGAGGCCAGTGGGCCACAGCACGGTGGACCTGGATGCTCACCCTGCTTACCCGACCCAGAGTTGGGCAGGCTTGGAGAGGCCCACACCCCCTTATCCTCCACGGCTTCCTGGGGGTGACCTGGGGAGCGCCCCAGCCACCTTCTACTAGTCCAAGGTGGTCT